CATGCATGCATGCATGCATACAAACAAACATACATACATACATACAAACAAACAAAAAATATACATACGTATAACACGCACACACACACAGACAGACAGACAGACAGACAGACAGACAGACAGACAGACAGACAGACAAACGTACACGACCCAAAAGACCCAAAAAACGAATCTGGTAACAATGCTGCTTTTGCCTTTTTTGCCTCTCGGGGCCCTCTTGGGGGACAAATTGCACGTGTTGTGAGGCGTCTTGAAGCCTCTTGGGGCCTGCTTGGGGGCCTCTTGGGGGCCTCAGGGGGTCCTCTTGGGCCGGGATGCTCGCAATTCCAATTGGATTTCCCCAGCTTGGGCTCCTCTTGGGGCCATTTGGGAGGCCGTTCGGGCCATCTCCGCTGCCTCTGAGACTGTCTTGGGACCCTCTTGGGCCGTCTCGGCGCCCTCTGGGGGTCTCTTGGGCCGTGTTGGGGTATTCGTATGGGCCCCCGAGGCTGTAAAGGACGGTACGAAGACGAAAAACACGAATGCGGTTAACATATATTTTTGCCTCTCGGGGCCCTCTGGGGGTCAAATTGCACGGGTTATGAGGCGTCTTGGAGGCCTCGTGTAGGCTGCCCTCTTGGGGGTCTCGGGGATCCTCTTGGGGAGTGGGGCTCGCAATTCCAATTGGACTGCCCCATCTTGGGCTCCTCGTGGAGCCCTCTGGGAGGCCGTTGAGGCCCACCTGGATGCCTCTGGGACCGGCCTGCGACTCTCTTGGGCCGTCTTGGCGCCCTCTGGGGGGCCTCTTGGGCCGTGTAGGGGCGATCTCAGGGGCCCCTGAGGTCGTCAAGGATGGTGCGAAGACGAAAGACACGAATAAAGTAAAAATGCACGCTTTACAAAGGGAATGAAGCTATTTTTGCCTCTCGGGGCCCTCGCGGGGGGCTAATTGCAAGGGTTACGAAGCGTCTTCGCAGCCTCTGGGGCCGTTGGAGACGTCCCGTCGAAATCGTTTTCAGGGTGGTTGGCGGCTGGCTGGCTGCTGCCGCCGTGACTCTCATCGGACCGCCCTCCGAGGCGATTTTGGGCTTCCAAAGGTCCGGCCGGGCCCCCGGGCCACCCATTTGTAGTAGGGGTCGTGGCCCCGGGCCCGTGGGCCCGGTCCCCCGTTATATGTGTGTATCTAGATATTTGCATATATGTATACATCTACGTATATATATACTATGTTTAAATGTATTTGCACACTACATGCACGTATATATCCGTAAGGGCTTCGCCCCATGTCGCCGGCCCCCTGTCTCGGATAATGGGAGATGCAAACGCTAAACCATGAGGTCTGGGCGTCGCCGTGAAGCAGTGTCGGGACCTGTTTGTTTATCGACCCTGACCCTACGGATCTGCGTCACAGGTGCCACCGAATTTCAAAAATGTGTCAAATCCATTGTGTTTTTGGACCCTGATCCTACTGATCTGCGTGAGGGGTATGGCAAATCCCATGTGTTTTTTGACCCTGACCCCGCCGATCTGCGTGAGGGGTACCACCGAATGTCAGAAAAGTGGCAAATCCCCTATGTTTTTGGACCCTGACCCCGCCGATCTGCGTGAGAGGTATCAAGTTTTACCCACCCCAGCAAGTCAGAGCACACGCTCAGGGCGTGGTAAAAATACCCGTTTTGGGCCTCCCCCCCTCGCGCGGTCCATCAACAAGGAACAGTAAGCAGCAAGAAGTCAACAAGGAACAGTAAGCAGCAAGAAGCAGAACTGTAACAGTGAAAACTGGAAGCTGCAACTGGCACAGGAAACTGCGAAGCTTCGGCCTACAGCCTGGTGGCCCCACAAGGGGGCCGGCGGATATATATATATATATATATATATGTATGTATATATATATGTATATACATATATATATATACATACATATATACATATATACGTGTAAATATGTGTATATATACATGGATGTACAAATATACATATGTATGTCTATATATACACACACGCAGTAGACACACGCGTGTAAATGTATATGTGTATGTGCATGTGAGTATGTACGTACGGATATATGTATATATATAAGAGAGAGAGTATGTGTGTATGTGTATGCGCGCACGCGTATGTACATGATGCGTATGTGTGTACATGTATGTATATGTAGACACATACGTATATGTTTATGTATAAACGCATGTGCACGTGCATGTATGTGCATATGTGTATGTGTATACGTGTGTAAAGGTATAGGTGTGCGAATGTATGTGTGGATGTTTATGTATGTGTATACGCACATGTGGTTACATGTTAATGTGTCTATGTATGTGTATGTGTATATGTGCCTAGATATGTATATGTTTGTGCGCATGTGTAACTGTGAATGTTCATGTACATGTGTATATATATATATACGGATATGGACATGTGTGTATGCATGTGTGTATGTATGTATGCATGCATGGATGTATGTATAGTTGTACGCCTGCGTGTACGTATGAATGTATACATGCATTTGTGTATGTACACTTGCATGTATGTATGTATGTATGCATGCATGTATGTATGTACGTGTATATGCACGCAGTACTTCACTGTGGTGCCTTGTCGTCGGATGCCCTGGGGTCTTGGAACGCACTTCAAGAGCAAAGGGTTAACGCAAGATGGCGTTTGATCAGTTGTTTTCCACCCTCGCCCATGTCAAAAATAAAAAAGCACCAGCCAAAAGAAAGGGAAGGGAGGAGAGGATAAAGGAAGAAGAAGGAGGACAAGGGACAAGGGCGTTGTGCGGAGAACCCCTGCGGCCCAAACGGCCACATAAATAATTCAAAAGCGGAAACAACGGCATTCCAAAGGGGAGAGGGAGGGAAGAGAGGAGAGAGGGAGGAGGAAGAGGAGGAAGAGAAGGAAATCTGAAAACGGCAACAACAACAAATTACCGGAACAATATCTCATACCCTTCACCCACGGAAGGGAGGCCCAGAGGTATTGAACTGGGAGCCTCAAGGGCCACGCTCCCATGCGAAGTGAACATAGCCACGACGCGAGACCGAGGTAACGTCACTTATGACAATAGCTGGAAATAGCAGAATAGCCTAGTTGTCCCAAGAAAGCCGGCCCAAGTTCTACCAGCTAGGGGCGGGACGCGCAAGAGTAGACGCCCCATGGGGCGGCAGCCAATTGGAGGGGCAAGAGAAGGCCAAGTGAAGCGGTGAACGCCGGCTACACAAAAAGCTCAACGCCTGCCCAGCCTGTAAGATTAGGAGCTGAAACCGCTACGTGAGACCTAGATCAGCGATGTCATGGATTCCGCCTTGTGCACCGAGGTGCGCTGGCATCCACCCAGGGGGCCATCACTCGGGTAGCGTTGATATATCTATGTAAAGAAATATGTATATCTCTATACATATATATATGTATGTACATAGATGTACGTAAGTACGTGTGTATGTATGTATGCAGGTACGTGTGTATGTATGTATGTATGCATGCATGTGTATGTATGTGTGTATGTATGTATATGTATGTGTGTGCATGCATGTATATATATACACATGTGTGTATGTATGTATGTATGTATGCATGTGTGTATGTATGTATGTATGTATGTATGTATGAATGAATGTATGTATGTATGTATGTATGCATGCATGCATGCATGCATGTATGTATGTATGTGTGTATGCATGTATGTATGTATGCATGCATGTATGCATGTGTGTATGTGTAGGTATGCGTGTGTGTATGTATGTATGTATGTGTGTGTTTGTTTGTATGCATGTATGCATGTATGCATGTATGCATGTATGCATGTATGCATGTATGCATGTATGCATGTATGCATGTATGCATGTATGTATATGTATGTATGTATGTATGTATGTATGTATGTATGTATGTGTCTGTATGTATGTTTGTATGTATGTATATTTGTATGTATGCATGTATGTGTGTATGTATGTAGGTATGTATGTATGCATGTATGTATAATTGCATGCAGACATACATGTATTCATGTATTGTGTAAGTGTGTGTATGTATGTGTATGTATGTATGTATGTGTGTATGCATGTGTGTGGATGTATGCCTGTTTGTATGGATGGATGGATGGATGGATGGGTGGATGGATGGATGTGCATGTATAAATGTGTGTTTGTATGTGGATGAATGAATGGATGGATATATGAATGTATGTTTGTATGCATGTACGTATGCACGTATGTATGTATGAATGTGTGTATGTGTGTATGTGTATGTGTATATATATATATATATAAATATATATGTTTGGATGTATGTGTATGCATGCATATGTATGTGTATGTATGCGTGTGTGTGGATGTGGGTATGGATGTTTATGTGTGCATGATTGATTGTATGCCTTTATGCATTAATCCTCATTCCTCCCTCCTCCCTCCTCCCTCCTTCCTCCCTCCTCCCTCCTCCCTCCTCCTCCTCCTCCTCCCTCCTCCCTCCTCCCTCCTCCCCCTCCTCCTCCTCCTCTTCCTCCTCCTCCTCCTCCGGCTCCTGCTCCTCCTCCCTCCTCCCTCCTCCTCCTCCTCCTCCTCCCCCTCCTCCTCCTCCGCCGCCGCCGCCGCCTCCGCCTCCGCCTCCGCTGCCTCCTTCTCCTCCTCCCCTCCCCTCATCATCAATCATCCCCCTCCACTTCCTCCTTCCTCCTCCCTCCTTCCTCCTCCTCCTCCTCCTCCTCCTCCTCCTCTCCTCCTCCTCCTCCTCCTCCTCCTCCTCCTCCGCCTCCGCCTCCGCCTCCGCCTCCGCTCCGCCCCCTCCGCCTCGGCTTCGCCTCCGCCTCGCCTCCTCCTCCTCCTCCTCCTCCCCTCCTCCTCCACTTCCTCCTCCTCCTCCTCCTCCTCTTCCTCCTCCTCCTCCTCCTCCTCCTCCTCCTCCTCCTCCTCTCCTCCTTCCTCCTCCTCCTCCTCCTCCTCCTCCTCCTCCTCCCCCTCCGCTTATCCCCACGTCCACCCGATCCCGTGCTCCTCGGCCCCACCGCAGGGGGGGAAGCGCTCGGCCTGAGGCCCCTGGCCACCGCCGCGAAGCCCAACATGGTGCCCTCGTGGGTCTCGAGGATCTGTTTGGAGGCAGCCTGAGGGCCGGGAGCCGCGGGGGGGAGGAGGGAGAGAGGGGGAGAGGGAGAGGAGAGGGGAGGGCAGGGGGAGGGGAGCGGAGGAGAGAGGGAAAGGCGAGAGTGAGGAGGGAGGGGAGGGAGGAGAGAGAGAGAGTAGGAGGAGGAGGAGGAGGAGGAGGAGGAGGAGGAGGAGGAGGAGGAGAGGAGGGAGGGAGGAGGAGGAGGAGGAGGAGGAGGAGGAGGAGGAGGAGGAGGAGGAGGAGGAGGAGGGAGGAGGAGGAGGAAGGAGAGGAGGAGGAGGAGGAGGAGGAGGAGGGAGGAGGAGGAGGAGGAGAGGAGGAGGGGGAGGAGGAGGGGGGAGGAGGGAGGGGAGGGGGGAGGGAGGAGGGAGGAGGGATGAGAGGGAGGAGGAGGAGGAGGAGGAGGAGAGGAGGAGGAGGAGGAGGAGGAGGAGGAGGAGGAGGAGGGGGGAGGAGGAGGGGGAGGAGGGGGGAGGAGGGGGAGGGAGGAGGGAGGAGGGAGGAGGAGGGAGGGGAGGAGGAGGAGAGAGGAGGAGGAGGAGGGGGAGGGAGGAGGAGGAGGAGGGGAGGGGGGGGGAAGGGGGGAAGGGGGAGGGCGAGGAGAGGGCCGCAGACTGGGCGAGACAGAAGGAGGGAACGCCGAAGAGAGGGTGGGGGGAGAGGGTGAGGGGGGTGGGACCAAGGCCACACCAGTGTGGGGGCAGGGATTGGCTAAACGATGATTTGGAGGAGGGGGAGGGGGGTGGGAGGGGGGGGAAGAGGGGAAGGAAGAAGGGGCAAAGCGGCAAAGGGCCGAAGGCGGAGGAGGTTCGGGGGAGAAGGAGGGGACGGGAGGAGGAGGGGAAAGGTGAAGAAATATGTAGGAAAAAGCGTTGAACAGGTGGGCATGGGGAGGGGCAGGAGGGGGATTATGCTAACGGAGTTCCCCACATAAAGAGATTAACGGTTTCGTGGGACCCATTTTCTTGATGCCCTCCTCGCTTTGGCGGGGCCCCGCTGGAAGGGGGGAGGGCTACGAAACCTGGCGAAGAGTAATGCTTTCCGCGACCCTCCTCGCTCAGGCGGGGCCTCTCTGGAGGGGTGGGAGGGGCACGAAACCATGTAAATAGTATGGTTTTCCGATACCCTCCTCGCTCAGGCGGGGCCTCCCTGGAGGGGTGGGAGGGGCACGAAACCATGTAAATAGTATGGTATTCCGATACCCTCCTCGCTCAGGCGGGGCCTCCCTGGAGGGGTGGGAGGGGCACGAAACCATGTAAATAGTATGGTATTCCGATACCCTCCTCGCTCAGGCGGGGCCTCCCTGGAGGGGTGGGAGGGGCACGAAACCAAATAGTATGGGGCTCAGTATGGTGTAAATAGTATGGTATTCCGCTCAGGCGGGGCCTACCCTCCTCGCTCAGGCGGGGCCTCCCTGGAGGGGTGGGAGGGGCACGAAACCATGTAAATAGTATGGTATTCCGATACCCTCCTCGCTCAGGCGGGGCCTCCCTGGAGGGGTGGGAGGGGCACGAAACCATGTAAATAGTATGGTATTCCGATACCCTCCTCGCTCAGGCGGGGCCTCCCTGGAGGGGTGGGAGGGGCACGAAACCATGTAAATAGTATGGTATTCCGATACCCTCCTCGCTCAGGCGGGGCCTCCCTGGAGGGGTGGGAGGGGCACGAAACCATGTAAATAGTATGGTATTCCGATACCCTCCTCGCTCAGGCGGGGCCTCCCTGGAGGGTGGGAGGGGCACGAAACCATGTAAATAGTATGGTATTCCGATACCCTCCTCGCTCAGGCGGGGCCTCCCTGGAGGGGTGGGAGGGGCACGAAACCATGTAAATAGTATGGTATTCCGATACCCTCCTCGCTCAGGCGGGGCCTCCCTGGAGGGGTGGGAGGGGCACGAAACCATGTAAATAGTATGGTATTCCGATACCCTCCTCGCTCAGGCGGGGCCTCCCTGGAGGGGTGGGAGGGGCACGAAACCATGTAAATAGTATGGTATTCCGATACCCTCCTCGCTCAGGCGGGGCCTCCCTGGAGGGGTGGGAGGGGCACGAAACCATGTAAATAGTATGGTATTCCGATACCCTCCTCGCTCAGGCGGGGCCTCCCTGGAGGGGTGGGAGGGGCACGAAACCATGTAAATAGTATGGTATTCCGATACCCTCCTCGCTCAGGCGGGGCCTCCCTGGAGGGGTGGGAGGGGCACGAAACCATGTAAATAGTATGGTATTCCGATACCCTCCTCGCTCAGGCGGGGCCTCCCTGGAGGGGTGGGAGGGGCACGAAACCATGTAAATAGTATGGTATTCCGATACCCTCCTCGCTCAGGCGGGGCCTCCCTGGAGGGGTGGGAGGGGTGGTATGGTATGCTATGGTATGGTATGGTATGGTATGGTATGTGTGGTAGGAACTATGGTATGGTATGGTGTGTATGGTAGGAATAATCTTGTGCTGTATGGAAGATGGAGCGGGAGGTGGGTGGGAAGGAGAGGGTGTTCTGGGAAAACAAGAACCCCACTCAGGATGTGGGGAAAAAGGAGGGAGCCATAAAGGGAAATGGTAGGAAGCAACGAACCGAAATGGACGGGGAGGGAGACAAGGGAAGCGGAAGGGAAGAGGGCTCAAGGGCGGGGGGAGGAGTCAGGAGGAGGGAGTTTGGGAGATGACGGCAGGAGCCACGGTGTGAAGGGGGGGGCGAAGAAGAGAGGAGAAAAAGAGGAAGAGCGAGGCGACAGGCAAGGCCTGGACAACACACAAGCTCTCCATCCGTTCCGTGGTCAACCTCAAATCCGGGCCCAGGGCTTGCATCCAGCGTTTGCGATGACAGCTGCTTCTCGTCACGGGTTCAGGGTTTGGGGCTTTCAATTTCGGATCGTCCACGCAGCCATGTGCATGACGACAGCGCACTCGCCCCTATCGTCGCCTCCAACACCCCTTCCATGGCGGCGTGCACAAGAGATGGCGCCAATGGGGGCGGCTTCTAAACAGGCGGGAGGGGGCTTCTAAAAGGGCGGGTGGGCCTTAGAAGCCCTCCCGGTCTCTTAGAAGCCTTCCTGGCCGCCTTCTTCGAAGATGGCTTCTGGGGCCTTCTCAGAAGAGTTCCTCAGATGAGTTCCTTAGAAGCCTTCTTAGAAGGCTTCAGGTTTCTTGGAAGCCTTCTTCGAAGGCCCTTGCTCCCCCCCCCCCCAAAAAAAACGCCTTCTTCGGAGGCCGCCCGGACGGGGCCCCAGCACTTGTGGCCAGAGGATCGCACCGCATCGCCAGTACATCGGCGACACATCGGCGAGATTGCAACGGTGAGCTTCGGGTTCCGAGCCGAGCACTCAGCGCCGATGACCATCGACGACACGGCGCGATCCTCCGACACCACATCTGGGCGGCCCCCGACTGCGCTCGGGGGCAACGCCAGGGGGGGAGAGGCTGAGGGTGGAATGCATCGACCCCGGGTCGCCCATGAATCGCCGACCGGGGCCCGCTGCCCCGCCCCCGTGGCAGGGGCGCGCGCGCTGCCCCACCCCCGGGGCAGGGGCGCGTGCCCCACCCCCGGGGCAGGGGCGCGTGCGGCTTCGCCACATCTGAGGCCCATCGCCGATCCGTCGGCGACGCACCGCCGCTCCCAGGTCGACGTCTGCCCCACCGGCGGCGGGGCCCCCGCCCACACCTGCCCCCCCGAAGGTGCACGCCGTCCACTTCCGTCGCCCCACCCCTCCCCCGAGATCCGCCGATCTGATTTTTTCGATCCGGAGGAGGAGGAGGAGGAGGAGGAGGAGGAGGAGGAGGAGGCCCCAGAAGTCCCGACAGCTCCCCTGGGGGCAGTGTTTGTCGCCCCCGATCCATGCTCGATGATGCGGGGCTCGGAAGCGGCCCCCCAGGGCCGAAAATCAGATCGTCGGAGGTCTGGGAGGAGGAAAAGAAACACACAGACACAATTAATCGTCGATTCCCCAGAAAATATGGGAGAATATGGGAAGTGGGGTGGAAGACAAAATCCCAGAAAATATAGGAAAATATGGGGAATATTTTTATTTGTGTATTTATGTGTGTGTCCCAGGGCCCCTTCAATCTGGGAGGAGAGAGAAACATAAGGGCACCAGCTCCGATGGGGGAACCATCGACCTGGCACCAGCGACACACCGCCGATAGATCGGCGACAGGCCCCCCATACAGTCGGGGCATTGACCTAAGGAACCCTAAATAAGGAACGAGGCTCCTTTTTCCCATCGGTTAAAGTTCGACATCCTATCGGAAACAGGAGGAAAACCTGAGGCAAGCTGTGAAACACTTAAGGAACGCGGAGCCCCTCCCAAACCAAAAGGGTTCCCCTTCAGGGCCCCGACTTTAGCAAAATTCAGCGCGGTCATGGACGGAGTGGGTATCGGGCCCTCATCGGCGATCGATGGGCGAGTGGGGGTCGATGCATCCCCCCCTGCCCCACTAACGTTGCCTGGGTCCTCCTCGGGGGCGCCCGCGGCCAGGAGAAGTGGAGAAACAAGAAACGGCATAAGACGAATCTCTCGGAGGTGGAGCTCTCGGGTCGGCACCGGACTCTCCTCCCCGGCGCGGCGCCGGAGGCGCCGCCAGGGGGGCCCCGAGCCGATCCAAGAGATTCGCGCGGACCTCCAAGCAGGGATGCTTATTCCGTTGTCCATTCTTCGAGGAAGGGCACGCTAACCGACGCTGACCGACCTTACTCGACGCTGAACGTACGCGAATCGACGCGAAAGCGGCACCGCATCGCCGAGTACCAGACGCTGGCACACGCGAATGCACTCCAGAGAGGGGATTCCGAGGACATCAAAAGGCTCCCACGAGTTGATACAGAAGGGCATCGGGCGTTGGCGGGGGGACGCCCCCCCGCCCCGTTTTCCATTGACGAGAACTGCCGCCACCCGGAGAACCACCGGCTGCGGCAGACTTGGCTTAGTGATGCTGGCCAAATTCGTTGGCGGCTCTGGAGGGTGCCTCGGGTGCCGTGGTCTTCTCAGAGCGTTCCCGAAACGCTCCGGGCGCGATCCGCAACGCTCTGGAACGGATTCCTTCTCGCCCCAGCCCCGCCCAATCCCCTTACAGGTGGTCCCGGCTATATCCTAAGGGCGGGTGCGCGGCCTTCTCAGAACGTTCCAGAAGGCTCTGAGAGCGATCTGGAACGCTCTGGAACGGGTTTGTCCTCGTCCCAGCCTCGGGGGCGTCCAAGAGGTGGGCCTCAAGGAGGGGAGAGGGGCGCAAATCATGGGCCGCGGCATGCACGCGGCCCGGGGCCCGGGGGGGGGGGGCGGGGACGCATTGAAATAAGAAGAGGCGACCTGAAATCTGGGGAGACATCATGGCCCCCGCCATGATATCCACACCCACGTAGTCATCACCCCCCCCCTTAGCCGCCTGCGCATCCCACGAAAACAGGGCGACTTGACCGGCGGCACGCCTTTGAAGGTCGCCCCGATCCTGTTTTTGAGCGCCTTCGCGCCCGACGCGGGTCTGCAGATGGCCTCGGACTGCAGGGTCCCGGGGTCTCGCTCCCTCTTGCCCACCCCCGAGCCCCGCCCGATCCCCTTGCCCGGGGCCCTGGCTATGTCCCAAGGGAGGGCGCGAGGCCTCGCCCTTGCCGCTGCCCTTCGCCGCCTCGCCGGCCTTGCCCTCCTCGGTCTGCGCGGCCCCGCCGGCCTCCGCCTTCGGGGCCTCTCGCGGGGCGCCGGCGGCCACGTGGGCGATTCCACTCTCAACGGCTGCCCACTCTCCCCACCCTTTTGGCGGCGCGCAGAGGGGGACCAAGGGGAGGAACAGGAGGGCGAGGAGGAGAGGGTTGGCAGCGTGCACAAGGAGGGCAGGGGGAGGGCCGACTTTGGCATGGAAGCTGTGGCCACGGCTCCGCGGCAGTAGCCAACAGGCTATCACAAAGCGTTCATTCAAAGAAAAACTTGTTTCAGCCATCGCGTCATCCTCATGCACATCCTCATCTTCAAGAAACCCCGCCTCCACTTCCACCCGCTCCCCCTCTTCCTCCTCCTCCTCCGCCTCATTTTCCTCGTCCCCCTCCTCATCATCATCATCATCATCATCATCATCATCATCATCATCATCATCATCATCATCATCATCATCATCATCATCATCATCATCATCATCATCATCATCATCATCATCATCATCATCATCATCCTGTTCCTCCCCGTCATCGTCATCAACATCCACAACCACCACCACTAACACCACCACCACCACTACCACCACCACCATTACCATCAGGAATGTCAACATCCTCAACAACAACCGCATCATCAGCATCAACACCATCATCAGCACCCTCGTCATCAGCAGCATCAACATCACCGTCATCATTTTTCATCATCACCACCACCACCATCACTGTCAACAGTCTCGCGCGTGCAGGGTATAGCTTGCCACTCGTTGGCGAACACTTGCAAGCTTACAGCAGCCCTGTGAAAAAAAGTGGAGTGGTCAACGCACTTAACGCAGAAAACGAGCAGACCGTCGGCAGTGGTGCCTGCTGACAAACAATAAAATCTATGCATTCGCTCAATTATGTCGCGAAACTCACCCAGGAAAAAAGGGTGCATCTCTGATTGACTCTGCACTTCATGGCATGTCTGGGTGACTGAAGATGAAGCAGGCCACGTACCTCCATGGCACGTGTTCTGCACGTTGCCAGTCCTGCTCCACACTAAGTTGGGGCTTCGGAGTTCTCTCACTGTGCCCCCTGCCTTCTTTTTAGTGACGCGGCCACGACCCAATCACCTTGGGCAACGACTTGAGCGTCACGGCGGACTCTTCCATTTGCCCCTGAATCCCAAACACCGACGACGGATCAAACGACGGATGTATCTGGAGGGCCGCCCGTGCTGAAATGTCAGGCTGAGTGATAATATCGAAGGCAGGCTTGCCCCATGGAAGGACTTTGTCGGCCTCCTGGTGGGTTTCGTCGACTTCTATCGCCCCCGGGAGAAACTTGCTACTGCCTCTGCCCAGTCTGTCCTGAAGCTGTCTGTACACATGCTTCGGTAAGACAGCCTGGCGGCGAGAAGCTTGTGAAATCCGTCTAGCACTGATGAGCAGTCCACGGAAGCGGTAAACTTGAATGTCAAAATCTGCCGCAACATTAGAAACCCTAAATACTCCCCTGCCCGAGGCAATGGAAAAAAACGGGCCTGTTATCTCGACTTGTAGACCCCCACTTTCGGATTAACCACAGACAGCCCACGCAGCTCTATCCAGAGCCTTGATGCCAGAACTAGTACAGGTGCCATCGGAGCCTGTGAGGGGTCCCACGTAACAATGACAAGTGGTTCCTACAACGGGGTCCTCACCTACACGCCCGCCTTGCATAACGAAATCCCTAGCAGGTGGAGGGAAGGAGTGAGGATGCAAGGACGAGTGAGGAAGTGACCTAACTGCAGACCGGCACTGCTAGCTAAACTTTCACACGAATCAAAGCCAATTAATAAAGGGGGAGGAGAAAGAGGAGGAGGAGGAGGAGGAGGAGGAGGAGGAGGAGGAGGAGGGGGAGGAGGAGGACGAGGAGGAGGAGAGGGGGAGGGACCAGCATATGGCATGCGGCTTAATATGACCAGCCTCGCGCCACTGCCTGGGGGCCTGTGCCTCCGCGAAGATAGCAGCAAGATCCATCAGCACCTTCCCGTTGCAACTGGCATGGCCGGGATGCTGATAACGGGTGAAACGCTTCCAACACGACTGCGTGTGGGAGCCCTCAAACCGGTGCCTGCAATCTGAGAGCAACCCTTTGGCCATCTGGTCCTCTGTGAGCTGCCCACGCTTGGCGCACTCGCGCCAGATCTGACGTCCTACCCCTCCCGATCGGTCCGTCCACCCCCGCTGCGCCGACTCGATGTGTGTCCGAGGACGGGTGCCGTAGCGAAGGAGGGCGAGAGGAGACACAGAGCTGCAGCAGGAGCGGGAGCAAGGGGAGCGGGAGGCGCAGGGGGGCCAGAAAGAGGGAGCGGGGCGGCAGCGACCGTGGAGGACGCAGGCGAGAGAGCCAGCGGGCATGCAGGGAGACGACGGGCCGCGCTCGGAAACGATCCGGGGAGAGAGGGAAGTGGTACTCGCGCTCAGCGATTTTGGAGGAGGGGCCAGAGGAGGCAGGAGGGAGGGGGAGGAGAAAGGAGGAGCGACGAAGGAGAAAGAGCAGCAGCACGAGGAGGCGAGGAGGGCTACCGCCGCGAGCAGTGGCTGCACCCAGATGTCGGCGCGGAAACGCCGCGGCGCCGCGCCCGCTCGACAAACCGCCGTTCCCTGTTCGTAGTCGTCCTTGCCTTCCTCGCCCTAATCTGCCGCGAGGGTTCCTCCTCCTTCTCCTCCTCCTCCTCCTGCTCCTCCTGCTCATCCTTTTCTTCGCATTATGTGTTACATTATCCTGCGGATTAGTACCATCAGTATTGTTATCTTAATTCGTCTTCTTTTCATTATCATTCGCATCATTATACTTATTCTTCTTGGTATCATCCGCTGGCCCACTTGTGGGGCCACAGGTCTGTAGGCCGAAGTGTGCTGCTCCCTGCGCCAGTTGCAGCTCCAAGTCTACAGTGTTACAGTCCTGCTTTCTGCTTCCTACTGTAAAATGTTAAACTCCGCGCGAGGGGGGGGGCCCAAACTGGCCAGTCACCTCGCCCAGATCGCGTTCCCTGAATTCCCAGGTGGTCGTGGGACACGTCAAATACATTAGATTCGCGCCCACGAGGCCATAATCCCTTATAAGTTACTCAATGTTCGCGTCCCCGAGGCCACATACCCGTGTACATTACACAATGCTTGCGTCCCCTAAACAAAAAAAACTCGTAAGTTACGCAATGCTCGCGTCCCCGAAACCATAAACCCTTGCAGATCACGCTAGATTCGCGTTGCCGAGGCCAAGAGTGCTCCAAGGCGCCCGAAGATGGTTCCAAAACGGCCCAAGAGGGCCTAAAGAGGCCCCTGGAGCACTCCAAGAGGCCTGCCAAGATAGCCCCAAGAGGCCTGCCCAGATAGCCCCAAGAGGCCTTCTCGCCTTTTCGGCTTTCCGACGCCCCAAGACGGCTCAAGAAACTCCCAAGACCGCCCCAAGACGGTCCAAGACGCCTCCAAGAGGGCCCCAAGACGGCCCAAGAGGATTCCAAGATGGCCCAAGAAGCGCTCAAGACGGCCCAAGAGGGCCCCAAGGCGGCCCCTAGAGGGACCCAAGCAGGGGACAACGAACCGAACTTTCGATATTTGTGCCACAAGAAGCCCCCAGGAGCTCCGAAAGGCTGGCAAGAGGCCCCAAGAGGCCCGAAGAGGCGCCGTAGACACGCCCAAGAAGCCTTCAAGAGGCCAAAAAGATACCTCACGAGGCCCCAAAAGGCCCCCAAGAGGCGCCCAAACCGCCTCCAAGAGGCCCCCGAGAGGCTCCCCACGACACCCCGACACATATACAAGAGGCCTCACACCCACAACACAGGCACGGTGGCGGGATGGGCCGAAGGCCGCTAAGATCCGCCACCCCCTGTGGTCTTACCACAAAGGTGCCGGCGTGCTTGACCATATACTACTTTTGCTTTTGGTAAAGAACTCTCCGCTGGGGTTTCGGCCCGTCCCGCCGGCCACCCGAAAAGAGGCCTTTCGATTATGAGTATTATCATTACTCGTCGGATTAGTATTCGTGTGTTCGTAATTGCTGTTATGAGTGTCATCATTATTAGTGCATTGTTATGTTTGTGCTTCGCATTATGATTATTATGCTTATCATTGGTATGCTGATTTGTCTGATTAACATTAAAACTAGTACTGATTTGATTCGTCGTCTGCTTATCATGATTCCTCCTCCTCTTCCTCCTCATCATCATCATACTCCTCATCATCCTCCTCCCTATCACCGACGCTTAGCCCCATAATCCTGCCCCTCTTCCTCCTCATCCTCCTCCGCCTTCTCATCCTCC